TTAATACTGTAGAAGTCCTAATACTGTAAGAGTTCTAAAGGCTATTATGATAGAGAAATTATATATACTATTGTAATATTGTACAGAGTAGATTGATGATAATAAGAAATACTTTTGTCTGTCTATTCCCTCTTCCTTTTCCTTGCGTTGATATTTTTGTTTAACACATTTGTTATTCAGATGACCTTTTTGGTATATTTTAGATCAAGTTTACAACTAGATTGATGGATTCTTATACTGTTTGAATAAATTCCAAAAATTGTTGATTCAATCAACTTAAAGTCATGCAAGGTTAATGTAAACTAAAATCCATATTTGGTGCAATATAATTATTACAATACTTTTTCTTAACTGCAACCTTAATTTAAATTGAGAAATATTTCATTTTGTACAATACCAGGCCACTCCCTTTAAAAATTTAAAACATATTTCAAAGATGTTCAACAATATCTCATAAATTTTTACATTTAGTCATGATTTCACATTCTTTCAATAAATCATCCTCGATATATCCAAATATTTGGCCATCAAATACCGCTTGACTGAAGTTACTTACTTCATCGGTCACCCATTGATAGTAGCAATCTAATTCTAATCTTGTCATTTCTAAACAACATTCAAGGCATCATTACTTTTCCGGGTGTTACTAGCTAGATTATAATTGAAAGGTATCACATACGTAATCATTCTGTCTCTACAATCTTTAAAAGGATTATGAACATTCGAACAATCAAGCATTGCATATGAAAATCTAATTGTGTCGTTAATTGCAGTATATTTTCAAACAAATAAACACTGAGTAACGAGTTATCGATTCACAGGAAAGTGGAGTATTAAGCACCAATTACTAATTTATTCGTGAGAAGCTAATCCTAATGATTATGATTGAATGTTGCAAATAAATAAATAAATAAATAAAGTAAAGCAATGATTCATAGTTTTGAAATCAATATAGAGAGATTGAGATTCCTAGTATTTAAGTGTTTAATCCCCTAGTGTCTAACCTAAAGTAATATTAAATCTGGGTTTAAACAAGTGTGAGGATGGAAGGTGGTATAGAGCTACTCACGTAGTCACTAACACTAATGAATATTCACTCCCGTGGTATAAACACCCAATAAGAACAAGAACAAGCATTCATAAATAATCTCTAACCACTACCATCTCCCGATGTGCAATAATCAAGAATTAAAGCTCTCTAACAAATATGTCATTTCCCAAGGTGCAAAAGTTAAGTGCAGTGAACTCTCAATTATGCCTAACTCCCGTTATGACATAAAACAAAGCAATCAAACAAGTAATTTGGGCCTGTCGCAATGACAATAATAAACACAATTGCAACACAAATTTAAAATCCAAATAATAATATATTAAAGAATCTGATAGCACAGGCACATAGGTTCGTAAATCATTTTTACTCAAGAATCTCTAATGAAATTTAGCTAAGCATGGCTAAATCATACATAACAAATATATTAAAAGAATTACAAATCATCAAATAGAGTAAAAAGAGTGAATCAAACAATTTTTCCAAAACTTCCTAGTCTTCATTCCCAAGGCAATTTATAGTTCTTGATTTCTCTTCTTCTTGTCTCTAAAGATCTCTGAATATCTCTAAGATTGAACCAAAGTGGGATTTTATAGCGGGAATAAACCAGGGCGAAAACGGAATTCTCTTAATTTTTTTATTGGAACTTACGCCCTTTTGATTTTGGGAAATGCAGACGATTTTAAGAATTTGAATTGGAAGCATAATAATGCAGCCCACTTTTTTAGAACTTCGGCCCTTTTGTTTTAATTTGCAAATCAGCGCAACTCCGCGCTTTTTGATGCATCAAGACTTCAGTCTTCAGAGTATGTTTTTTTAGAAAGTTAGGTTAAAATAATAAGCTTTCTCTGAGCACCCAATCTCTATCACACTTCACTTTTCTTTATCGTGATTTTCATTTTTTTGTTTTAGGTTTTTTTTTTTTTTTTTTTTTTTTTGAAAATCTCATATCCTTTATAGCCCTGAGATACATCATATGGCTTGTAACTTCAATAAGTGTTGAATATATATTTTGATGAATTTCTATTTTTTCCTATCATTGTTTGATCTATATTTAATCATAATTTTTTGCATCAAGTGCATTTAAAAGAGTAATGAGAAGAATTGTTACTCTTCAAAAATTTTAATTTGATAAACCAATTGTAATTAAAATCATAAAAGTTAAGGTATAGAGGATTTAACATCAGCTATAATCGATAGGTGCAAATCACCTCCACGAATTGACTTAATAAGTCTCGTGTAAAAAATTTTGAATGTGGGAACTGAAGCAAACTTTGTGTTAATTTTCACTAATGCTATATCTTTTTGTAGCCAACACTAGAATGTCATTTCAAATTAAATTAAAGGGAAAAAACAATAACCTATATAGACCAATTATCTCCACAAAATGAGTTTTGTGGAAAAAAAAAAAAGTATATTATTATCTATAGGCTAGACAAAAACAACTCCAGCATTAGTTTAAATGACAAACTCTATATACTATACCATCAAAACTAATGCTAAGTGCTAAGTACGTACCATCCCTTAACATGTTGGAACTTTGATTTTATCGATTTTAAAAACTTACTCTAACAAACCATATAGTTAATAAAGAGATATTAGCTAGTGATCAAAGCAAGGTATGTTATAGACTTGTAAGTATAGATTATATGATTATATGAGAAAAGATGGAAGTGGTAAAAATATCTTAAGTGAAATATTGTGTATAAGATTTATTAATCATCGTAACGTATTTGATTCAAACACAATAAGATCAAATATATAAAAATTCAATAAATCAATTACCAAAAGAGGTTTTTATAATTCAGTGAGTGGATTAGTCACAATGTCTAACTGTGCATGAAAACCCTGAACATATCAAAAAAAAAAAAAAAATTCAATTACTCTTTGCACACTTGTAACTATTATATTATATCAGTTTACTCATATATAGTAACTATCAGGTCAAAATAAATCCTTATATATTAAGTACTCTCAATCACTACAAATTAAATTATAATTCATTACTACCGTACTTTAAAATATTTCGTACAGTATTCAATTTAAATGAAACATTGATACCAAATTTATTATACATTAAATCCCAATTTTGTTTGGAAAACACAACAAATTCTTTGAATATCTTCAATTTGTCATTTTGCGAAGGTAGATTATTTGTAAGTCATTATCAATTTCTTTTTTTGAAGGAATCTACCCATTATCAATTTCTTTAAATCTCTTTTCATAACCAAAATAGGTATAAGCTATTGATAATAGTATTTTAAACTCAACTAAATAACTGTAATCTTCTAACTTTTTTTTAGTGCATGAATCGTAGTCAATAATGCTAATGTGTTATTTTAAATTAAATTTAGAGAAAATGACACTTTTTTTTCTCTGAGTTATGTACTTATAGCATTTTTTTTCAGTGAATTATTTAAGTGGTTGTTTTTTCTCTGAAATGTTAAATAGACATATTTACCCTTAAAATAAATATTTCATTTATTTTTCTTCTCCAACAAATTATCATAACAATTTGGTTCAAACCAAACAGACACTATAGCAACCAAACTGAAATATTCTAATTGCAATTTAGAATCGAAACCCGATATTTAGAGTTTATTAAAATCGCGAACCGGGACGGCCGGTTCATGTTCCGAACTGGAAAAAAACAAAATACATTTATTGTTGAATTTAGACTATTTTAAAATAAAGACGGTTCAAAATCGCGAACCGGATCCGAAACCGCCGGTTCACGGTTCAGGATCCAGTTTTTTCGATTCATAATTTTAATAAATTTAAATCCAAATATTGGGTTCTGGATCTGAATCATAACTGGAAACTTTTAATTCGATTGCTATAGTGTTCGGTTCAATTCGAATCGAATCGTGACCATCCCTATGTATACGCAATAATTTGTTGGAGAATAAAAATTAATAAAATATTTATTTTAAGAGTAAAAATGTCAATTTAATATATATCATGAAAAAAACCATCACTTTTAAAATAATTGAAAGAACTAATATACTTACATGAATAATTAAAGAAAGAAAAATGGTATAAATATATAACTCGGGAAAAAATGTCATTTCCCCTTATATTTATAAGAAACTATAACGGACCACAATGAATTGGTGCCAGCTAGCTCCTGTGAGAAACTGAGAATACTTTTGATGTTGGAAACTGAAGCAAATTGAATGACGAGCTGATGTTGAAATTTCATTTCAAATTAAAATTTAATGGAAAAAGTAGGTAATGACTTCATTCTTCCCAAATGTCACATCAAATTAAATTAAAGGAAAAGTAACAAAGACCTTAAAGTGAACTGTTTCTACAAATTGGTGATAAATTTTTACAAAGAAGGAACTAAAGCAACTCTATTATTGATTTAAACTTACAGTATATATACCATAAAAAAATAACGCTAGTTGGCTAGCTACTTCATTTGTCCTCTCCCATTTTGTCCTCTCCCATTAATTGATGAGAAATGGGAATATGGTATTAATTGGGTACGTAGATATAAATATGCATGTACTTTTTTTTTTTCTTTAGAACAATATGCATGTACTTAATATATCAATATCACTAACAATCATAAATTTTTAAATATCTTCAATTCACCATGTTTACGAAGGTTCATTATTTGTAAGTTATTATCAACCGTCTATTTTAATCCAGACAAAGAGATTTAAAGAAAAAAGCGATGAGTTATACTTTATGTTAAAATTTGATATTTTTGTTAGTACATATCATTAGATTTGTAACATTGGAATCCATATTCGAAACTTAGCTAGTATTTACAAGATATGTATGAATTACTTTACCATACTTTATTTATTAGTAGAGTGTAGGAGACTTATATAAAAGTGTGTAACATTGCTCAATATAATGTAAAAAGCATATAACATTTAGTAATTTTTTTTTTAATACAACTGACTCTATTACAATGTAGTATCTATTCCTGGACAACATTCAATAAATATATAACAGAAAATATATAAAATTACACCAAAAGAGACTTAATAAAACGTAACACAAGAACAAATTGAGGTATCATCATTAGGTGCAAAAGTAGTTAAATTTCAGTGGGGGAGTTGAGTACTTAGTTGATGCAATTTGTGCCGCAAACACAGCATTTGCGTTGTCTGTGTAGTGCACTCCATCCTAGCTGATAAATCTCTGCCCTTTATCGCACACGGTACCCTGCCCACACCATATTTTGGCATTGTAGGGTGCGCCACCACCCCCACAACATGCCATCAATGGGCTCTCGAAACCTACTCATTTTAATCAAAATGTAAAATTAAAATCGTTAATTCAATCATATTATAAATTAAAATTTATCTATCTTAGCTTATAAGAATGTATAATAAAGAAATTAAATATTACCGTAAAGGCGATAGTTGGAAATGAGAGAGTACTTATCATGTACATGAGAATCCTTCAGCTCATGCCTCAACTCTTTACAAAGTTCCCGGAGTTTGGTATTAAACTCCTGGGCAACTTCATTTTGAGACTTGAGGCAACCAATCTCATCAAACTCGGCACCCACTCCTCCTCCCAGTTTTGTAAGCACGTAAGGGAGACAACCCATTGGCCCAGTGTTGTGGACCCAAAAGTTTCTCCCTCCAGCACTGTATATGACCTATATATATTTGTACACATACAAATAAACAATTCGTAATTCCATCACATTGCATTATATATATAATTGGAAAAAAAAAATTAGAAAAGGAAAAATTGAGCATACGTTTATAGCACTTTTGATTTGAAATATGAATGATGAAATATTTGATATCACTTGAGGCTTTGAGAAGTGCTCCTTCAAAAAGGCTTCGGAAATATCATTTTGGCCGATGTCAATCATGTACATGGCCTTTTTAAAATCCATATCCCCAAAAGTGCCCTTGGTTCCTGTTTTATTGGCGGATTAAACATTAATTTGTAATATATCACCTGCCTCATTAGATTATAAATTAAGTTAACCAAAAAAATAAAAAAAAAAACCTTTAGAGTGCAAATTCAGGGAGAAGGCGTGAAAACGTCTGAACTGAAGCCCCCGAGTGCTCAAAGTAAAAAGATTATTATCTTTCTGGAGTGTCTTGGCGCCTGCTACAGCAAAGTTCACTCCATTTTGAAAGCTTGAAGTGAGAGTTTCTAGATATGGAGACAAGTAGTGCGACTTCAGACTCTCACCTGTGCATTATGATATGATAGGGATGATGAAACAAAACATTAATTATTTAGATAATAAACTAAAATAAAGGAAAATGTTAGTTGGGAGCTTACCAAGGAAATCGATCATCAAACGTCCGTCGCACCAACGGTTAGAAAAGAAATCGCCGAAAAATGCAAAGCGAATGGGAGACCTATAAAGCTGGCCGGCGACATAACCACCGGTGTCAGAATTAGAGTCCCCAAAGTTAAAGATCACCGGGGTTTTAAAACATTCCTCTCCGGCTAAAGCCGGAGAGCCATTACCCAGAATTGCTGCTATGCAGCAAGTAGCGAACACGAACATAGCTAGGAGAGAGAGAGAGAGAGAGGAGATGTAGAAGAAAGAGGCCGGATTGTATGTTGAAGAGATCTAAAGAATGAAGAGAAGGCCATATGTATGCCATATGTATATATAGATGGGTGGGAGCCAAGGATGTAAGAGAATGTTAGAGATTTATGTGTATATTTGCACCTAAAAACTATGGAGTAATTAAATAGATATATACAATTAAGTTGGAAATATTGGTTTTCAAAAAAAAAAAAAAAATTTGGAATTATTGAATGAATGAATAAAATAATTAATATATCATAATTGCATGTAGGGTAGATAACTCGAATACTCGATAATCATCATAATCTAACATTTATGAATTGATGACCTTATAAAACAAAAAAATTTAAGGTTAGGGGTCAAACACTACTGGAAATTCTAAAATTTCCGACCACCTAAAGTTATTTTAAATCAAGTCGAAAGCTTTGTTCCGACCACCTTTGATATCCGGAAAAACTCTTATTGCTATTTCCGACCACTTTTTGCTTTCAACTTAATTTAAGATCACTTTCAAGTGGTCGGAAATTCAATAATTTCCAGTAGTGAAATTTTTTTTATCTCAACAAAAAATCAACACTATGTTCTGAATGGAGTAACCCAATAATTATTATATTATAGTGTGAATATATTAAAAAAAAATTTTACCAAGTACCTTGTGGTTTAATGGTACCAAATTGCTCTCTTATATAGGAGATTGTGAGTTTGAGTCTCATAAAGGTGATATTGAGAAAATTACTATGAACTTGTAACAGAGTCAGTAGTATTCTAAAAAAATATTAATTATAAACTTATATTTATTAGTGTAACTATACTAGTTTATTAAAATTGAAAGTTCATTAATGTTAATTTGAAAATGTCAAAGTTGAGTTCACTCACTCAATAATTCGAGATTGTAAGGTTAGAATCAAGTATTTTAAATTCACTAAACAATTTTTTTTAGTATTCAAAAAAAAAAAAAGTCCGAACTAATAAATTTGACATCTCAAAAGTGAATGCAATGGCTTTATTGCCATTCCTAATTGCATGGATATATATGAGGATATATTGAAGCAACTAAAGTGGATATATTAAATGCTCATAAATATAAAGCTGTAGGGAGTAGCTTATTATAGGTCGAGCCGTCTAGGATTCCTCTTCAAGAGGGACGGATGGATGAATTAAATGCCAATACTATCAATCATTTAATTTGGTTTTATTAAGGGGAAGCATATTTAGGGCGCATTCTTATATAATTTATTATTAAAGATGGTTTAGAAAATTTTAACAAAAGGGTTAAATAGGTTCATGTAATCATGTACCAACATTGATTGTTTATCTAGCATCATGAACTAAAATATGGTTCATCTAGCGTAATAGTCCAATTATTTTTCATCTAATATTTGTAGTAAGTTTCTTATTAGTAACGCATCTAATTTACTTACATGAAAAAATAAAATAAAAACAAAATGTTGACATGTTATCTTTTTCATCTAACTTGCTGTTTTTGTCACTTTTTTGACAGAAAAATTCAATTTTTTACGTATTTCTAAATTATGTTGATTTTTCTACGAATTTTCTAGAATAAACAGTGAATATGTGTTTTCCCCTAGGTTGTGAAATAAGTATGTTACCGCTTTTGTGGTTTTTGAATTCATTTATTGGCATTCGTTTTTATTTTGGTTTTGGATGATGCATTTATGAGGCTCTTCGATACACACCTAAGATTGAAGAGCTTGGAAAAAAGCTGATTAATAGACTAAGGGACAACGATGATCTGTATATTACTTTTCATTTGAGGTATAATAACTAACACGACTTTTGATTTAATGTTTGAGGTGCATGTAACTTAATTAACTGACTTCCTTCGAGTGTAGATGCTAAAACGACATGCTTGTGTTTACTGGCTACAGTCACAATCTGATTGAAGTAGAAGCCAAGGAACTTCACACTATGAGGTATAATGTGCATAACTGGAAAGAGAAAGAGTTAGACAGCGATAAAAATGAGACTAACATATGTCCCCGAGGGAAGCGGCCATGTTTCTGAAGGCGATGGGATACCCTTCCAAGACAAAAATAATATACATTTGCAGGGAAAATTTATGGTAACAATAATATGGATGAATTCCGCTTAGAATACCCCTACATGTTTTCACACTCAACACTTGCAACAGAGGAAGAGTTGGAATCTTTCAAGTCATATCAGAAATCAACATAATTCGGAAATACGTAAAAATTAAAAATCAATTTTTCTTAAAAAAAAAGTTACAAAACAGCAAGTTAGATGAAAAAATAACATGTCAGCATTTTGTTTTTATTTTATTTTTTTTGTAAATTAGATGGGTTACTTGTTAGAAATTTGCTAAAAATACTAGATGAAAAATAATTGAGAGTATAATAACCTAGATGTACCATATTTTAATTCATGGTGCTAGATGAACAATCAATATAATGTTAATACATGGACCTATTTCACCCTTTGCCTAAAAATTTCTTCGGTATTTATTAGTGGAGTTGATTCAACCTAATTCTCTAATAACGAATTTGACGATTGAATACGAATTGAATGACTAATTTTAAATTTATAAGATAGAATAAATTACCATTTAACATTATTTCAAACATTTAAAACAACTCAAATAATAAATTTGGTATCAATTTTACCATTAAGTTGAATACAATATATCATTTTAAAGTAACAAGATATTAAATGATGATTTTTTTTTATTTCTTTTTAACAAAACTGATGATTATTTTGTTCAAAAAAAATTGATGATTATTAATTTATTATAATTTACATATATATTCAATATCCAATCGAAAGGGGAAAAAAAAAAAGAGAATTTAAACAAAATAGGAGTATAGTGAATACTATAATGAAAATGATTAAAACTAGCTATTTTATTTATTTGTTGCATTGTGAAGTTTCATCTCTCTCTCCCTCTCACATATTCATCACCAACTTAGAGCTGTCTCAAGCCTCTAAATGAAGCTACCCAGGAGTTCAATGCTCACTCCGTAACCTTTTTGCAGATTTGCAAGCTGAGCTAAAGGATGCTACGATGGTGTATGTGGATATGTACACCATCAAATATGATCTCATTTTCAAATCCGCCCTCTATGGTATTTTTTAATTAATCTCTCCATCTACACACTGTTATTGTGTTATTATAATTAAGTAAACTTTTTATAATGTACGTGATGCAACCTAGCTTTGTAAAGATTTTTAATTATGTTATGTATGTTATTACATTAGGGTTTGAAAATGATTTCATAGATCATAGATGGATCGAATAAATGCATGGCTCGCTGCAGGATAGCGATGAAACTCGTAACATATATATATATATATATATATATATATATATATATATATATATATATATATATATATATATATATATATATATTGTTTTAATGTCAAATGACTTAAGAAATTTAATTTAATCACTCATACCAAAATATTGGGACTCAAATTATGAAATGATGAATTTGTTATTGAGTTGACAATAATCCCATATCTTTTCTCCATCAATATCGGAGGCATGATCAGATATGAGCATGGGGTCTGTAGAAGCTATTTGATTCGATCTTCACCCAAACAGCATAACAATTCTTTCCTATCCTATGAAATTGCGTACAACAATTGGGAAAGAAGATATCGTCATGTAACGGATTAAAGTCGAAATCGCTATATAACGAATTGAAGTTAATATCATATGCCCCAAAATACATTAAAATACAGTAGTCATTAGGGGGTCTCTCAAACTCATGGCATGTAGAAGCACCAAATTCGGGTTGGTCACTATAGTGTTGTGCATCGCGTACATTTTCCGTATCATACATTGCATATGAAAATCTTATTGTGTTGTAGGCTAACAACAAACCTAATAATAAAAAATATATCTTCAAATTCATCGCAAGTTATTTAATTTGTTAGTATGGGTTGTATGTAGGTGTTCATTCATAAACCAACATGATCTTATTAATGAACATTTTAAAGACATGTATTGTGTTAATAATTTTATAACTTATATTTTGTCATTAAAAATAGGTAATAAATAACTTATATACGTTTATATATATATATATATATATATATATATATATATATATATATATATATATATATATATATATATATATATATATAAAATTCAGTTTCGTGCGGTTGAGTGTGTCCCATGCGGTTGTGCGAAACACATGGACCTATCAAGAACCGCCCCATGTAGGACTGGTGCATGCGGGACACGTGGCTAACATGCCGAGCTACTGGCATGTGTCCCCTCGTCCCACTATATAAGGCACATCCAACAGTCCAACACCTTAGAAAGGGACTTTAAGCATTTTCTCTCTTGAGTACTTATATGCTCGAACCTTCCGATCCTCAGTCGTAACTAACCAAGCTACTATACTATAATTTCCAATCATATTCGTATACCCGAGATTATTTACCACATCAATGACAGTCGTTAAACTATGTGTAACTGATAAAAGAAGTGGTAGCGGCAAACTTTAATTTTATCCCGTTTGGTTCGAGGGAAGATTAACTACATTGTTTGGTTAGTGGAAAATAAATTACTGGGAATATCGATTCCATTGTTTGGTTGAGTTTGAAATTGTAAGGAATAATGAGTATAAAAACAATTGTACCCTACCAAGGGGGAACTATGGAAAATGTTTTCCTCATTTTTGAAGAAAATGTTTTCCATGAACAAAACAAAGAAAAATCTAATTTTCGTCAAATTCAAGGAAAACATTTTCTGTGAACCAAACATTTATAATGTGATTAAGAAAACGAGTTAGCTTTAATCCATTGATGTATTTTAGTACTTCACTTCTTTTGAGTCATAATTATTATTATAATTTTTTTTTTTGACAAAATGTCTCCATTATACCCCGTCAGATGCATCAAATATTCACGTGGACGGTAATTTGAATAATTTCTATAATTACTATATCTTTTAGTACTTCACTTTTTTAGGTCATAATTATTATTATTATTATTATTATTTTGATAAAATGTCTCCATTATAGCCATGCATCACATA